TTCTTTCTTTCTTTCTTTCTTTCTTTCTTTCTTTCTTTCTTTCTTTCTTTCTTTTGGATAGTGTCTCCCTATGTATCCTTGGCTGGTCTGGCCTGGGACTTGCTATGCAGAGATCCACCTGCCCCTGCCTCCTGAGTGCTGGGATTAAAGGCATACATCACTATACCTGGTTCCTGTCTTCTTTTTAAGTTGATTATCTCAAGTATTTTGCCACAACTATGGAAAGCTGACTCACATAGCTGCTCTCCCCAGAGCCAGGTAACAGCAAAGCTAGGCTTGGAATCCAGCTGTAGTTCTCAGAGTGTAGCCTCTGCCTGGCTGTGCTCGACCTCCTTCTGGAAACAAGGCCACCTCTCTGCTCCCAGGCCACCCTTTAATGGGGGGTAAGTACTACCCACTACGAGAGCAGAATAGTGGGGAGGGGTAAGACTTGAGGACCACATCAAGTGCTGTGGGAATCATAGGGGAGGCTCCCTCACTCACCTGAGGAGGATGTGGGTGACATGAAGGTCCTTGCTTCCTAGTTAATCATGCCCTCCTCATCTGTGACATCAAATCTGTGCCTGGAAGAGGTCTTCACGCACTTATGCAGTGACATGTCGGTGACTCAGTCACCACAGAGCACTAAGTGTGGCATCAGGGTTAGAGAAAGGGGCAAAGTTACCTTCGTCCCTCTGTACAATCAAATGAATGGGATATTCGGTGGCCATATCGTACCTCCTGTCTTGGTCTTTGGGGCCCATGCTCTACCTGTGGGCTATGAAGGCGAGGGAGCTGAGAACCCCTGTTCTAACCCACCCGGCCCCAACTTTAGCAAGCTGTGTACTCAATTGTCTTTGCCCCTCTGAGCCTTCATTTCCTAGTATCTAACATGGGGTAGTTCTCGATAAACTCCTAATGCTACTATCGGTCTAGTCAGCACTGCCCACATCTGCCTTCCATGTTCTACACAGTCATGAAGTCTGACAGCACAGTGTGTATCATTTTTTAAAATTTATTGCATTGAAAATTTAGTGTGTGTGTATTTCTATGTGTGTGTGTGTGTGTGTGTGTGTGTGTGTGCGTGTGTGCGTGTGTGCGTGTGTGCCTGTGCGCGTGCGCATCTGTGTATGTCATGGCTTGTGAGTGGATATCAGAGGGTCACTTGCAGGAGTCTGTTCTCTCCCCTCTACCATGTGTGTGCCAGCAATCTAACATAGTCAGGCTTAACAGCGGGTTTCTTTTTTTGGTTGGGCCATCTCACCAGCTCCTTGCCTATGTTTTATTTAACCAAATCAATTGGTTAGTTAATTATATAATTGTGTGTGGGGGAGAGTTTAGATGCACAGCACATGTGTGGAGGTCAGAGGGCAGCTTGTGGAAGCTGGCTCTCTCATTTCACCTTGTTCTGAGGTAGGGTCTCTCTTGTTTCTGCTTGGCTGAGTGCTCTTGGCTAAACTGGCCCACAAGCTTTCAGGTGGTTCCTCTGTCTCTGTCTCTCTCCCTAGTGCTGGGATTACAGACACTCCTGCATCTGGCTTTTTATGAATCCAGGGGACCAGACTCAGGCTGTTTTTTTATCTGCTGAGCCATCCTGCAGACCCTGGCTGGGTTATCCTATTTACCTCTCTTGAGTGCATCATTCCAGGTCTCTCTCTCTCTCTCTCTCTCTCGTGTTTTTATTTTTCGAGACAGAGTTTCTCTGTAGCTTTGGAGCCTGTCAAGGAACTAGCTCTTGTAGATCAGGCTGGCCTCGAACTCACAAAGATCCGCCTGCCTCTGCCTCCCGAGTGCTGAGATTAAAGGCGTGCGCCACCACCGCCCGGCTCCAGGCTTCCTGTTTACTGAGATGTGGTGACTTGAAAAAATTCTCATCTTTGGACAGTGAACCCAAGTGTAGTGGACAAACATAGGCACCTCCCACTTCTAGGAAGACTTCCCGCTCCGCTCTCTCTCTTTTCCAGGGCTGAGTGGCAGTCAGGGAGGACACCATCTATGACATAGAACAAAGTGAGAAGAAATTTGACCCTACATGACTGTGTAGTTCAGAGTCACCCCACTAGCCTGGACTACTAACCTCTGAAGCCTCCCAAAAGCTAGAAATAAAACACCTAATGGTCTGAGCCATGGGACTTCGGGGTTTCTTTATTACAGCCACTTGGCATGCATAAGGACATGAGACATCTGTGGTTTTATTATTTCTTTCTTGTCTGCCTTCCTTTTCTGTTAGCCTCTCCTCCCCCAATTTAGCCGCAGATGACAAGCACCCTCATTTCGGGCTTTTGCCTGCTTCTCTAAGCATAGGTTGTTTACCCAGCGCATGGAACTCATCAGATGGGAAGCCAGTGTGACAGAAAGACAGTGGTAGAACCCTATCACCTTGTCAAGAGGCTACTGCATCATCTCCTCCCAAGAGGGGTGACTTCCCAGAGTGTCCATCTTCACAGTGAGCAGAGCCACATCTCACATAGTTGACATGGGAATGTCTCATGATTGTGTGATCATTGCTTTTGCAAAAAAAAAAAAATAGTGATCATAAATAATGTCTCTCTCTTCAAGCATTCATCTCACTCTGGCTGGGGGCAGGTAATAGTCACCGCCTCTCTCCTCCTTCCTGCTCTGTCTGCTTCCTCCCCACTTCACTCTCTTTCCCTTTTCCCCAGGGTCCTGCCATGATAGGTAAGCACTCTGTCCCGGAGCTATAACTCTGACCCCCATTGTTTTCTGTTTTGTTTTGAGACAGAGTTTGATGCTGTAGTCCAAGCTGGGCTTGAACTTGTGATCCTCCTGTCTCTGCCTCCTGAGTACTGGAATCACAGGTGTGTACCACTGTATCTGGTGGATCCTCCCCTTCTAGTATTCGAGCTTGTGTGTGTGTGTGTGTGTGTGTGTGTGTGTGTGTGTGTAGACATGATACACATGTGTGTGGCGGTCAGAGGACAACTTGCTGGAGTTAGCCTTCTCCTTCCACTTTGTGGGCTCTTAGGAATTGGACCAAGGTCATCAGACTTGGCAGTTTGACTGTAAATGCATTTACCCACAGAGTTATCTCGCCCCCCTTCAGAGATAAAGTCTCCTGATGTTGACCTATGAACTCTTGGGGCTCAACCCTTTCTCCTACTTGAACCCTGGAGTTGCTGGGCATACTGGGGGCATGCCCTTATGCCAAGCTGTTACTAATCCCTCACCACTTTAAAAATGAGGAGCTGAGATTCAGACAACACAGCAAGCCCAAGATCACACGGCCTAAAATGGCAGAATGGAGTGGGCTGATGCCCTATAGTTGAAAGAACTTCGCTGATCCAAAACTCAGTTGCCCTTTTCATGAAATCTCTATGATATTCCCAACTAGGAAACCAAAAAGAATGACAAGACCTCAAAGACCTGCCAGAAATGAGCTTTTTTCTCAGGAGGGAGAATCCACCGTGCAGTGGAGGGTCAACTGGTGGGCTGTGACACAAGGTAGATCTGGGTACAGCCATTTTCTAACTGAAGCCTTCTGTTTTCCCATCTGAGGCAGCAGAGGAGAGGGCCCAATAGTCATCAGCATGAATAAGGGGGGGCCTGCCTTATTGCCTGCTGCACTTGCTTTTGCTTATATTTGGGATTTCCTATAAAGTGATGAAACCCAGATGAACCAACAGCAAGTGGGGTTTGTTGCTTTACAGGATTGGGAAGCTCGGTGTCAGGCAGGGACTCAAACAATTGTGTCGAGAATCTGTCCTTTGTCCCAGTTGCTGTCATAGTTATGGTTTCCATGACTGTGAAAAACACCATGATCAAAATCAACTTGAAAAGAAGTTCATCATTGAGGGAAGCCAGGCAGAAGCTCAGGCAGGAACCTGGGGCAGCAGTTGGTGCAGAGGCCATGAAGGGGTGCTGCTTACTGGTTTGCTCCTGATGCTTTGCTCAGCCTGCTTTCTTTTACACACAGGACCATCTGCCCAGGGTGGCCCTGACCCCAGTGGGCTGCCCCCACTA